ATATGGCCCATGGGCCAGACGTTCTCCACCCCTGCCCTAGAGCCTCCTAAATTGTGAGAGAACATATTTCTGTTAGTTCAAGGCATTCTGTTTGTGGTTATAGAGACACTAGAGAAATAAGACAAATGTCATGGAGCAAATCAACACTGCCAAGAGCTAGAGGTGGACTTTGAGTTTCCAGAACTGTGAGGCAATACATTTCTGTTAGCTAAATTCCCCTACTTGTAGTATTTGTTATGACAACACAAGGTCACTAAGACAGACTGATTGTTTTAAAACGTTCACATAACCTAAGTTTAATGTATTGAATGCATTTTAAGAAGCACTGACAGCGTTCCTTTGAAGAGTGGGCCCTGCAGGATGACCAGACCAGGGTTGGACAGTGGTGGACCCATTCTTTAGTTTGTTGTTGTTAAGTACCATCGAGTCGGTTCCTCCTCATAGCGACCCTGTATAAAGTTTCTGAGGAGTGAGCGCTGAACTTGAACTACTGACATTACAGTTCAAACAGATCATGCAGTCCTGCACATTAACCCACAGTGCCACACCAGAACAGAATGCCTTCAAACAGAGCCTTTCTCCACAATCAGAATTTAGCATACCTTCCAATTTCTTCAACTTAAGGGAGCACCAGAGTCCTGTTGAGCCCTGCTTCCCCACTGTTTTCCTGTCACATGGTCTTGTCCTCTGAGGAATACAACCCCAGGATCATACCCATTCTAGGCTACACACTTTCTCAGGAAAAACAGAAACTCTGGAATATGACTGGGACAAGCGATGCTCTCCACTCTTGATCCTAGAATTGAGTGGGGCTGGCTTATTCTGAGAGAGAAAATTCAGATATCACGCTCACCGTCTTCAGATGCTTGAGGGTCTGTTCGGTCAAAGGAATCCCTGGGTGGTGCACATGGCTAACACATAGGCTGGATGTTCAGTCCACCCAGAGGTGCCTTGAACGAAAGTTCTGGCAATCTTCTTCAGAAAAATTAGCCATGGAATACCCTATGGATTACAGTTCTACTCTGACAGACATGGGCTCAGCATGAGTCAGAATCGACTCAATGGTATCTGGCTGTGCTGAAAAAGAAAGAGACTTGTTCACTGTTTCTGGATCACAAAGGAAGAAGATGGATTGTTAAATGCTGTGGAGTTGGTTTCAACTCACAGCAACCCTGTATAGGAGCTACTGGTAGGTTTTTAACTGCCAACCTTGTGGTTTGCACTCCACACCAGGAAGTCCATTCAGTGTGTGGTGGTGGTGGTGGTTATGTGCCATGGAGTTGGTTCCGACTCATAGCAACCCTGTACAGGATTTCCAAGGCTGTAAATCTTTGCAAGAGCAGAAAGCCTCATCTTTCTCCTGCGGAATGGCTGGTAGTTTCAAACTGCTGATCTTGAGGTTAGCAGTCGGACTCGTAATCACTACGCTACCAGAGCTCCTTATTCAGTGTTGCCCAACATGAGTCGGGTTGCCTAAGGCGAGGGTGAGCCCCCTATTGCTGGAGGTGAAGGAATATTTAAGAGGAGACTCATGACCCGAAAAATAGGGACACTGTACAGCATAGCTTCTAAGCAGTGCCCTTCCCTGACTCTTTCCTGAGACTCTGTGGCATTAAGATATGTTGGAATGGGATGCTATGAGTTGGGAAAGCAATTAAAGAAATCCACTAAAGTGAGGACCAAGCTATAAAAAAAATCTTTATTTCATGTACCAGGATTTTTTTTTTTTTTTTTAAAGTTTTCTGCTTTTTAAAATTTTTTTTCTGTTAACAGTCTGAAAAAAAAAGAAAAAAGGACCCACCAAGAAAATAAAATGGAGGTTGTTTTCTTGAACTGATTTGAGCTGGACATGAGCAATCGTTTCACCCTGGGAAGAAACATCCTTGCTGTCCCGGCTGCCTCCATCCCTCAGGGTCCCCTAGCCCTCTCTTGGCCATCCTGGACCCAGAACCTGGGAAGACCTCACAACATGGAAGCAAGTGTTGACTGCACCCCAAATGCTTTGTCAGACCAGGAACTGGGGCTACTTTCATCTTCAGACAGTTGCCCCTTGTTTGCTGTTTCTTTGGGACCGCTTCCTTGTCTCCAGTCAGTGAGTTGGAGTGGGGGAAGGAATAGATTTCTGCCCAGAGAGTGCTGCCCTCAACCCTGTGGCCTCCAGGGCCTTCTGGGCTGGGCTGGCAGATGTCCTGCTTTGCGGTTCAGGCTAGATATCCGTGCTCCAGCTGTTGACCTGGATGCCGGGCAAGGGCAGTGGGAATGAGCAGTGGGAAACTCCCCAGAGAGCTGAATTTGGAACCCTCAGGTCAGGCCAGGATCAAGAACAGGCAACCTAAGGGAGAGGCATTGGGGGAGGCAGGTGGCCAAGGTGCCTTGCTTTCAGCGGAATGATGCACAGGCTGGTCTGAAGTTTCTAGCCTGAAGAAGCTGTTGGGTTTCTCTCAGTCTGATCTGGGCCTCTTTGTTCTGGGAAGGAGCCCAGAATGCCCCAGGCTTTAGTCTTTAGACTTGAATCTGGGGGGTAACTTTAACTTTTGGGGTTGGTCTTCACTTTGGAATTGAACTTTGCCCAAATTCTCGTCTCTGTCCCCTTAGCCTTAACCCCTTTCAAGTGTACCTCCAGGGTCCCCTTTTTCTTTGGCCCCAAAGATAATAGGGGAAGCCTGTTAGGGGTCTCTAATCTCATGCTCTAGGACTGGGCTATGGCATTACAGAAAGGGGGAAGGGAATGAAGAGAGGACTTGAGGACCTCTGCAGTTTATTCTCTCTTTGTCTGAACAGCTGGATACGCTTGCTCACATGAGTGTATTTTTGCTTTAATACTGGATGTGGGGGCAGGGGTTGGGGAGCACAGTGAGGAGGCAAATGGTGTGTGTGTTTGTGTGTGTGTCTGAGAGGCTGACTGACCATCTGGAATGTTCTCAATGTCTGGGGGGCTGGATGGCAGGTGTTCCATCATCCCTGCATCTCCCCCTGGGCAGGTGGCAAGTCTTAAAACAAGAACTGGCCTTTGGAGTTCATCTGAGTCCATCCACAGGTTTACATAGGGGGAAACTGAGGCCCAGAGAGGTGTTCTAGAATCTAGTCCTGGAGTCAAGACTACAATGCCCTGACTGTGCAGGCGAGCGTGGAGTTTGCGTGAGAGCTCGTGTGAGCATAGAAGCCAATGTGAAGTTGTTGGCCATTTCTTGGAGGGCTGAATCCATGTTCTTTAAACCATGCCTCTGTAAGGGGACAGGAGGGTTCAGAGTGGGAGCACACCCCTGTGACTGCAGCATGAGGCGGAGAGGACTCTGTGTGGGAGTGAGTGTATGCATGTGTTTGTATGTCTATGTGTGTGTGTATGTGAATGTGTGAATGCCTGTGTATATGTGCTACTGAGTATGAGTGTGGATGTATTTATATGTGTGTAAGTGTATGAGTGCATATGTGTCTGTGTGAGTGTGTGTGTGTGCATTTGTTTTGTGAGTGTGTGTGCGTAGGGCATATGGTCTCCTTCGTGCAAACCTGATTACCTGGGCTGAATCTTTCTCCTCCACATTAGCAGCACATTCTTCGTGTTTGGAAGAGATGTCTCTCACAGAGTCCCTGCAGTTGGCTGCGATTTTTCTCCACTCCCTCCTGCTGTAAGCCCAGCTCTAACCTCTCACAACTTTTTTGTTTTTAAATAGATTTGTATATTTGTTTTCTGTTTTCTCTTTACAGATTCCCTGCTAAATTTTAAGTCCCCCATCCCACCCCATTTTTTTTTTTCACAGTTTAAAGCTGGAAAAGAATTAAAAGAAAAATACTATCTGATTTTCTTGCAAATAAATCCACTTATTATATATTTACATTTATTTATACTCTGTTTTTTTTTTTTTATTAAAAAAAAATCACCACTTGATTTTCCTTTTTCTTTTGTAAAAAGAAACCTTTCTGTGGTGTCATTGTTGGACTTGCTCAGCCCTTAGAGGGCATCGCATATCCAAGAACCCCCGAAGGGTCAGTGAACCCCTTCCTAAGGGGCCTGGGGGCCTGGGAGTCTGGGAGTGCACCATCACCCCAGGGCTACCAGGTGACCCTGAGGTGAGGGGTGAGGAGGGAGAGCTGCTTCATGTCCCCCGGGGAATGGGCATCTCCTGACACCAAGGACAGGAACTTGAGGACGGTGACCCCAAGAGGCTCACCCTGAGGATTTCGGGGGATTCTGGGCATCTTGGTAAGCCACCGGCAGCCTTCCTCTCGCCTTCCCTTCCTTCAAGGCCTAGAGAATCATCACAGTGGGTTAAGACCATTAAGGACTGGGAACTTAGGGGCTGGGTAAGCCTCAAGTGCACCCCCTCCAGGCACCTTAGGGACAGGAGGGACCAAGGACTCTTGGGTCCCCTGGAGGCTTACAATGCCCCATCAATGCTGCGTGGAGCCAGCTTGGAGCCTCTGAGTGCATCCAGCACTCTTGGGGCACCTACCCTGGGCTCCAGGGACCTGGCAGTGACCTGAGGCCCAGCTGACCCCAGGGCCCTTGAGTCTCCACCCCCCACTCTCCCAGGGAGGCAGAGCCCACTTGGGGTTAAAGAGAAGAAAAAAAAGTAATTCTCCCCACTTTGAAAAAAAAAATACCCAAACCCCCAAACCAATAGTAACAGAAAACCCTGAAAAATACAAAGAGGTTTCTCTTCCTCTCAGCTCGCTCTCATTTTTTGCTTTTTATGCTATCATAGTTCCCTTTTATTTTTTCATTTAAATTGGTTTTTATTAAATGTTAAAATAATGGTACATGGGAAATCATGCATTTTCTTTTAGATTTATTTTCTATTTTTAATTTTTTTTTTTATCCCTCTCGCTTTTTTTTTTTTTAAAGTTTGTTTTTCTTCCCTCGTTTATTTATTTATTGTTTTCACATCTCCTGTTGTTTTTGCTTCTTTGTTCCTCTTATATTTTGTTCTTTTTTTGTTTTTTTTAATTTACGTGTTAGGTTTTTCTCTTTTTTTGTTTTTTGTTTTTTTTTGTTTTTTTGCTTTTGGAAGGGTCCCCGTGGATGGTTTGGTCCCCCCTCCCCCTCATCGGCCCCCCCACCCCCATCCCCGCCGGCCACGCTCCTCTTCCCTGCTCAGTGGAGGGCGGGCTTCATACGGGGGTGGTCCGGCGGTTGGCTGTGTTGGTGTGGAGAGAGTCCTTGTTATCTTTCTGGATGCAGTTGTGAACTTGGAGGAAACTGTTATCCCTGTCGGAGTTGTAGGTGGCGGTGGGCGTGGTGGCGGCCTTCAGGGGGTCCCTGCTGAGGGTGTACATGGAGATCTCCGTGGACGGCAGGGTGTTGAAGCCCTTGATGCCCACGGGGGAGGCGTCCCTGGAGTGTGAGGGCTCGGTGGAGCGGGAGCTGGATCGGCTTCGGCGCTGGTAGCGGTAACGGTAGCTGGGGATGCGGGTGATGGCGGAGGCCTGGAGGTAGTCCGTGGCTCGAGCGGTGGCCCGCAGCTGTTTGTGCCGATCGATAAACATGTGAACGGCCAGCACTCCGACCATTTCGGCAATGATGAAAGATAGGGCCCCGAAGTAGAAGGACCAGCCATAGGAGTAGCTATTCTTTTTGGAATCGCTCTTGGAGGGGTCTCCGGCATTGGCAGATATGTACACTATGATGCCAATGATGTTGCTCAGACCTGCGAGGCACAAGGTGGTAACGGGGTGAGGGTGGGCAGAGAGAAGGCCGGTTAGTGTCTGGGCCAGACATCAGGCATTGGGTAAGACCAAAGGATGGGCCAGCTGAATGGGCCTCCCCTGGCCTGTGTTTTCATGGGGAAGTGTCAGAGTCATGTGTTATGGGGATATGGTGTTGTTGTTAAATGCTGTTGAGGCAGTTCTGACCCATAGCCACCCTGTATAGGGTTTCCAAGGAGCGGCTGGTGAACTTGAACCAACAACCTTGTGGTTCAAACCGACTTTGCAACCCAGCACATTAACCCACAGCACCACACCAGGACTCCAAAAATGTAAAATAGTGCCACTCTTACCACCATGCTGTGGAAAATGTATGGGCCACCTTAAATATTTTATCATTCCGTTTAGAGAGATCCACAAAGGGCGTGAGCACCCATGAAGACGAGGGAGAGTAGAGAAGCGTTCTATGATGTACTTAACAGTCATATCAAACAAAATTAGTCGTTGTCGCTGTGGTTAAGTGCCGGCAAGTCAGTTCCAATTCACTGCGACTCTGTATAGGGTTTCTGAGTAGTGGTTGCTGGGTTTGAACCGCTGACCTTGTGGTTAGCAGTCCAGTGCTTATCCTATGGTGCTATTGCTTATTGAGGAACCTTGGTGGGGCAATCAATGGTTGAATGCTTGACTGCTGACTGAAAGGTTTGAATCCTCAGGTGCTAAGACCTGGCCTTCTGTTTCCATAAAGATTGTAGTCTAAGAAACCCTATGGGGCCGCTCTACGCTGTGCTATGGGTTGCTACGAGTCAGAAATGACTCAATGACACATCACCACAACATTGTTTATTGGGTGTTTGCGACCTGTCTTCATTGTGCTAAGTGTTCTTCAGACCGCTTAAACTCACTGTCTTTAAGTAGACTCCCAGCACTCGACAGGACAGAGGAGACCTGCTTCCTAGGGTGTCCAAGGCTGTAACCCTTTACAGCAGCAGACTGTCTCATCTTTGTCCTATAGAGCAGCTGGTGGATTTGAACTGATGATCTTTCTTTCAATTAATAGTCCAATGCTTAGCACATTGCACAACCAGGGTGCCTTTCAAGAAGTTTACAGATGTGGAAATAGAAGCACAGAGAGGTTCAGCAACTTGTTCAAGGCCACACAGGGACTTGAACCTGGTGTAGCAGAGGGTTCAAGCCTGGTTTCTGGAGCCAAACTGCCTGGATCCAGCCCTCGGTGGCTGTGTATGTGGCTTGGCAAATTCACTTTACCTTAATCTGAGCTTCCAGATCTGTAACAGGGGCTAATATTAGGACTAACTTCTATAGGGCCATGGAGAGGATTCAGTGAGTTAAAATTCATGAAAGCTGAGAGTCAGGGAGGTGGTAAGTGTTACTTAAATGTTCTCTTTCCTTGCTAAGTGACTACAGCCTATGTTAATTTGAAGCAAGTGTGACTTCTTATATAACTGGGCTTGGAAATATGGTTTTGGGGATGGCCTGCTTCTGCCTAGGTGGGAGAGTGAGGGGCGATGCAGCCAGGTATCAGGAAAGAGCTCCATCTGGTGGCCCATGCTCCATGCTCCTCCTCTAGCCCCATGCCCTGAGAGGGACCTTGGCTCTTGACCTTTGTCCAGGTGGTGGGAGGAAGATGGGACATGGGGCCAAGGGATGGTCAGGGTCAGTGGGACGCTTGGCAGTGGCTAGGGGGCAGGAGCCCCAGGCATGGCCTGTTGGAAGCCTTTTCCCTTCCATTTTTCCTCTTTCTTCTAGGTCCTCCCGGTCACCAGGTGCCCCCCACCCAGCCTCTTCTCCATGGACAGGCCTGGCTGCAGCCTGCCCAGCCCAGTGACTGTACCTGCAGACACGAAAAAGATGCCAGCACTCAGGATGATGTTGTGCCGAGTCTTGTAGAACTCACTGGCTGCTATGCAGAGTCCACCCATAAAAAGCAGGATCACACTCAGAATTGGGAAGATGCTCGAGGCCCTCACAGCCCCTGTGGAACAGGGAGGTTGGGGGAGAGAGAACAGTTGGCTGTGAGCTTGAGGGGTGCAGGAGGGAGGCGAGAGAGCAGCCCACGGGACACAGGCCCAGAGTCAGTGGCTTTGCATAATACTCAGGAGAGAGAGGAGGAGCAAGCAAGCTACTGCCCAGCTCCCAGTCTTTCAGAGGTTCTCCACTGCCTTTAGGACCAACCCAAACACCTGCTAACTCACAGCTAGGTCACTATGCTCCCCCTTGCTCTCAGAGCCAGCTTCCCATGACACAGCCTACCTCTTCTCACACTCTGACTTTGGGCAGACAGGTTTTCTAATTGGAATGTTGTTCCTGTACTTGTTCACTCAGCAAACTTCTATTCATCCATCAAAGCCCATCTCAAAGTTCCCTCCTCTGTGGGACCTTCCCTGCCATCCCCAGTGGGGCACTCAGGGAATGTTGAGAGGTGATGTACCACATGTAGTGGTGATGTGGAACTGGATTCAAATTAGGCAGTGGCATTTGTCAGCTGTGTATGTTTGAGTGAGTTATATTGCCTTTCTGTGTCTCTGTGTCTCTGTTTCCTCATCTGTAAAACAAAGGTGGGAATGTGCCTGCCTCCTAAATGGTTGTGAGGATTTAGTGAGTTGGTTCCAGTAATACACTTCAGTTTCTGGGGGGGCATTTAGTAAACATCATTAACAGATAGTTACTAATACAAATAACTGTTTATGTGGGTGCTTCCAGCCTCCATGAGAGCACCCTCCAAGGGCAAAGATGGTAGCTTCTTTTTAGATTTAAATTATCTTCATTCCTTCTATCCCTGCACCTAGGACAAGGATATGGTAGGTCTCCATTACAAGCTCATTGAAGAATAAACGTGGTGAGGTGGTTCAGGTAGAGCAAGAAGCAGACACATTGAAAGAAAAAGAAAAAGGAATAAAAAACCCAACCCCAAACCAAACCCCTCAAGAAGACGTAAGAAAGAAAGTCTGATGTCTGATAACAGGGCAGGAGAAAGAAAGTGTAATTTCATGATAAGTGTGAGTCCGACAGAGGGCGAGGGTGGCAGCTCCTAGGTGGGGTGGGAGGGGAAGCTGAGGGGGTGAGGCCAAGCTGGGGGCAGGAGGCAGGTGGCACTGGGGACGGCAGGTCCAGTGTGTGTGTGGCAGAGATGCTGCATGGGAATGAGGAGTCAGAGGTCAGAAACCAAGTATTTTTGAAATGTACATATTTTTTTTTTCTGTCCAAATTCACCTAGGCAGTGAGAGACCTCAAGGCCCCGACTCCATGTCCTAGGAGCTGTGGATGGGGGCACAGGGAACTATTGGGACCAATGTGAGGAGAAATAATGTCTCTTGGACTGTTTTGATTGCTTAACAACTTCCAAGGAAGTTGAGTCCTGTAACCAGAGGGTCTCTGGGTATGCACAGGGGTTGGTTGGAATGTGTTTAGGGGATGAATGCCCTGCTTCCAGGTAGGCTTCACTGAAGATTCCCAGAAGACAATTGCCCCCTTTGGTGGCAATGTGGCTGGGAAGGGTCTGTAGAGGTGAGACTCTACAGGTATGTCCCCTCCATAAGCCTCCCATCACTACTGCCATTGCACCGGGGGGGTTGCTATTCAAGAAGGGCTGAACTTTGTATCTCGGTGAGCATGGGCAGAATCAACTGCTCCTATGAAAGCAGGAGCCAGCGGAGGGGGTGGGAGGCAGCTGGGTCACTCTGCAACCTCAGTACCCCTCTCCCTGCTCAGGGACAGGGCTCCAGGCCAACTAAAGGGTTGCCACCAACCCAGAGCTGAGTGAGGGGTCTTCTCCCTGGAAATCATTTCCTCAGATAGTGCAGAATCTCCCCAAGCCAATCCTCCAGCCCCAACCCACCCGCATCCATGCACGTTCACACATGTACACACACACACGTATAACACACAGCCACACTCAGTGCAGGTTAATGCATTCATGCACACACATGCACACACCACATTAATGCATGTTCATGTTTACACACACACACATGCACAAACCCTCATCCATGCACGTTCACACATGTACATACACAGCATACTCACATACGTGCACAGCATGCCCATTCCCACATATGCTCATGTGTGCACACACACATGTTCACATACCACCACACATCCATGTTCATACATATGCACAATATGCACACCCCACACCCATGCACGCTCATGTGTACACACACATATGTATTCACCCATGTGCATAAGACAACGAACACACATGCACAATCCACACTCATTATGCACACATATACCCCTCAACATGCATGCTCACACACATGTATGCTCACACACAATGCACACGTGCACAACTCCCACACCCATGCATGCTCACGGTTACACACATATACACATACACATACCTCACACATGCATGTTTACACAAGTGCACACAATACAATGCACACACCCCACACACATGCATGCTCATGCTTACACACATACACACACAAACCTCATAGATGCGTGTCCACACATGTGTACGCACACATTTCTGTATACATACATGCGCCCATGCATACTCATACTTACACACAAGCACACACCCTCACCTATCCATGCTCACACAGCTGCACACACTTCACTCAGCACCCACGTGCACTCATGTATGGACATGTACACACACATGTACACACATGTGCACACTACATGTGACCTTAATTCTCATTGTAATAGGCACAGGGAGATGATGAAGGCTTATTGAAGACTCAGGAGAAGAGACATACTGTTTGTTACACTATGTTGTGTACTGAGAGGGTGCCCAACATACATTATATAACGGAATCCTTATAACAACCCTGCTGTTTTCTTGTTCCACTTTATAGACCAGAAAACTGGGGTTCAGAGAAAACTTCAGAGAAGTTGCCCAAGGTCACCCTACGAGTGAGTCAAGATTCAAACCCAGACTGTCCTCACTTTTGGGCCACCTTGTACTCTCCCTATGTGGCTTTCCCAGGAGCCTTGGGAGGGAGCTAGCTTTGGGTCCCAGATGTGTCGTTTCCTTTCCGTGGGTCAGCATAGATAACATGCCCTCTCTGGTTCTTGCTAGTCCCCTGTGCAAAACGGAGAAAGGGATGGCTGAATCATTTCTAATGATCTGCTCCTCAGAGAGGGGTTGGCAGCTTTCAAAGGACAGTGGCTATTGGTGAGATGAACAGGTAAAAGCTCTGATCTCTTCCCTCCAAGGAAGTGGACTTTTGTATCTGGACCAGACTGTCTCTTCCTGGGGGACCCCCCCTCCCAGAGTAAATGACCTCATGGGACCCAGGTCTGACATTTCCCCTTCCACCCAATTTGCTGTGGGATCCCAGATGCCCCAATGCCAACTTCCAGCCAGCAGAGGGAAGAGGCGTGCCAGCCTGGCAGGGAGCTGGAGTGCTGTGTGTGTGTGCAAATGTGCCCTTGTGCTTGTATGCAAACACATCCTTGTGCAGGCATGCATACACACAAGAGCAGGTGTGTGCCTATATGTGCGTGTGTGTGCAATGATACTCGGACATATTCGAGCAAGTTGGAGGGAAACAGGAGGGATTGATCTGTTGTGTTGCAGTCAGCAAAGAGCAATGTGGAAGAAACAGAACCACTTCAGAAGGTTCCAGAGCAGCTTATGATATGCTCTAAATAATGACAGCCAGCAGGGAATTCAGCAGAAGCCTCTCAGCCCAGCAGCGCCAACCCAAATACCAGCCTCCCTTGGAAGAGGTTCCTTTGCCCAGAAAGAAGGGGGTGGGAGCAGGCAGTAAACCCAGCAAGGGGCCTAGGAAGCCTGGACTTTGCTGACCTCAGACCCAGGCTGGGAAGGAAGCTGGTTTAAGAGTATTTGGGACCCCTCCTCCATTCTAGAAGTCTCCTGGTGACAGTCTTTCTGACTGGGCAGCCTCACAGACAGAATGGGGATTCTAGTTAGTTATACCTGCATTCAAATCCTGATTTTTGTCACTTACTGTGTGACCTTGGGCAAGGATCTGTCTCTCTGGATCTTAGTTCCCTATCCTGTAAAATTGGAAGAACAATAATTATTTCCAACTCTCAGGAATGCCCTAAGACCCTACTGTTCAAAGTACAGTCCCTGGGCTGACTGTTAGGGTCACTCAGAGCTTATAAGTACAGATTCTCAGGCCCCGCCCAGACCCACTGCATCAGAACCTACATTTTAGCAGGATCCTCAGGTGATTTGTGTGCACAGTTATAATATCTGGACTGTGCTGGACACATCTTGTTAAGTGCCGTTGAGTCGGTTCCGACTCATAGTGACCCTGTGTAGGTTTTTCAAGGAGCGCCTGATGAGTTTTCGCTGCCAACTTTGTGGTTCAAACTGACCTTGTGGATCAGTGCTTATCCTATGGCTTATCCTACAGCACCACACCAGGAGTCCTTGCCAGACACTTTTGTTGTTGTTAAGTGCCATCTAGTCAGTTCTGACCCATAGCGACCCTATATAGTTTTTCCTAGGAGCAGCTGGTGAGCTTGAACCACCAACCTTGCAGTTCAAAGTGACTTTGCAGTCCAGTGCATTAACCCACAGCACCATATCAGGACTCCTTGCCAGACACTAGGAAATGTTAAATCAAAGGGAGCAATTATTATTATTTTTGATGTCCCTGCCCTTCAGTATAACTTTGCCAGGAGTTTTCCTGACCTCCCACTCAGTCTGGTGCTGTCTGTGCTAAACTCCATCATGAAGAGCAGGGAATACCCGATTGAGTGAACATGTAGTCGTTGAACAAACGTTTACTGATACCTTGTTATTGTTGTCAGTTATTGTCAAGTCGGTCCTCGACTCATGGAGACCCCATACACAACAGAACAAAGTACTGCCCAGTCCCACACCATCCACATGACTAATTTGGGATGGAACCCTTGGGATCCACTGGGTTTCACTGGCTGATTTTTGGAAAGAGATGGTCAGGTCTTTTTTCCTAGTGTGTCTTAGTCTGGAAGCATCAGGTTGTTGTGATTAGGTGCCATCGAGTAGGTTCCCACCGTCAGCGACCC